CTCACATCGGCTAGGTGTAGGGCCAAAAAGCAGTATTTAAGTCCTAGGCTGCCCACCTCTCTTAAGGGCTCTTTTGGGAGGTGACATTAGGCCTAAGATAATTCAAGAAAGAAGATTGCTTGGCTGCCTGGCCAATGAAGACCCATTTGATGCTTCAATTTTAAAGAATGTAATTTTTTTGTGGGAACTTGGTTTTGAAATTACAATTTGGATTTAAGCGTTTATGTATAGCATGAGAATTGATTTGATTTGCCTAGAATAATAAGACAAATTAATGCATTCAATTAATATGATATCTAAAAGTAATATGTTTACTCACCTTTTCCTCCATATTAAATTTTTTTTTTTAAAACAAAGGATGATTGTAAATTCTTTAAATGACCCTCTTTCTATAATGAAAAGCTTTTTTGGGCAATTGCAAAATTATTTGAGTTTACTGATTTGGTTTGAGAGTTTGGCAGCCAAACCCTTGGTGGGATTGCTATTTATCCTAGAACATTTCCTTTCTTTCACCTCCCATATCTATGATAACTCATTTTATTTTTCTACACACTTCTTAACATCATTTTCAATTGTTCTCTAATCCTTTAGATTTCCTTCGTAAGATTATATATTCATTCCACTTATCAAAATCTTCACTCTGTTAGTTGCAACCTATTCCAGCCTCTCAACCTCAGGATCCTTTCCCACATCTCATATCCTCACCAGCACTTTAGATCTACTCTTAGCCGCTTCATATCTTTCTCAGTAAGTTTAATCTACTATCAAATAAACCCTCACACTCTCACATTAAAAATCCTTAGACTATCTGGTTCTCGGCCACCCTTGGCCCCATTTGGATCTAGTTTTGGGGAAAACCACTTCAAAATTATTTCTTCTATCAAAATATTTTACCCCTAACTTTAAAACTCATTTGTATACTCTGATGTACCACTTAATAAGTCATTCTTATTCTTATATTGGCCATAATTTAAGGGCTATGCATCAATCTAGCTCTATTTTGTAGCACTCAGATCCTATCAGTTTGGATTCATATCTTTCTTCATATTGTATTTTAAGAAAAAAGTTACGTTACTGCATTGTATATGTGCAAATTGTATGCACATTTGTGGAGTTCTTATTTTGTTTTTAAGTTAGTTAGGATTGTGCATTAAAGATTTATGCATACGTTCATCTGGAAGGTTGCTTAGGATTCATTCACCTCGATGCATATGGATATATTTCTTCTTTTAAGTAGCATTGTGCTTCCATATCCATGACCTATTTTTGTGATATCTAAGTAGCACTGTAGTTCCATATCTATAATCACTTTTAGTTTGTGTAATCTTTACCTTATCTTAAAAATCAAAAATTAAGATTGATAAATAGGTTGCAAGAACAAAAATGAAATAGTTCAATTTGCTATTTTTTCTGAAGTCATTTGAAGAGATCTTAGCATGCTGTGCATCAATTTGTACAAATGTATTTGTGTTTTCTTATGATGTATGCTCTTTTTGCTGCTTTTCCTTTTCTTTTTTTATTTTAGTTCCACACACTCTACTTTTCGTTGAAGAATAGGAAACAATGTCGATAGGGCTTACCTTTAATAGACCGAATCTAAAATCATTTCCTTGTTTGGGAATGAAGTGGAAACAAATGGAAACTTCGCTAGGTTGGGTGAGAAGCTTGGCTGACAGGTGAAGGAAAGTCTAGAGTCTTGTACCCTAAACCCTTTATTAGAAGATTTAAATGTTGTTGAGGCAAATTCAATCCTTTGCTTTTATGAAAGAGTGCCATAACTAGAAATGATTAATTTCACAAGAATGCGATACTAATATAGTGAGATTTAAATTTAGAGAACCAAGGCTTTGTTCAAGAATACTTTGTGAGCTGTTTGGTAAAAATAAGTTCACTGCCGCTTAAGTAAAGATAATTTCTTCAACAAGCCTCACGTCATGAAGCTATGCTGGAGTTACAATTATTATATAGTGTGGTAAGTTTCTTAAATGGAAATCAATGTAATTGTAGCACTAGAGGCTTAAATAACCTTGCTGCTTGTTATTTAGGGACTGGAGTACTTTTTCCCTTAATAATTCACTTGAGGATACGACTTGTAGTGTTAAGGCTGTGTTATTAAACGGAACATTTGCTTAGTGAATATAGATACTAAACCATCATGGATACTTAAAAAGATATTTATTATAAAATTGGAATTTCATGAGCCAAGTTATATGAATTAGAATAAGGTGATGAATAAATCCATTGTAGCTGAGTTAAGTGTGACAAACATGAGAATTATGAATGTCATTGTGTTGTCCAATTTTGTTAACTGTCCTTTTAATTCTTTAATATTATAGGAGCATCCAAAGTTTAAAAAATGTAACACATTTGGCCTCTTACATTTTAATAGTTCATAAGGTTTATTCTTAATCGTAAGTTTGATATTCACCTTATTCATCACGTAACAAATGATATTTATTGTCTCAGCCTAAAAATTCTTTGATTGAAAAAAATTGTTGAGCATCATTCTTACTATATCTTGGAGTGTTCAACTCTTCCTTTCTACTATGTCGTTTTGCTGGGGAGTCGTAGGTGCTGAGAAGCTATCTGTGATTCCCAACTCATTAGAATATTTTTAACATTTCATTTTCAAATTCTTCATCATGATCAATCCAAATTGTTTGTGCATGCATGATATATTGTAGAGGAAAACCTATAAGAAAATAGATAAAATTTTCATTGAATGCTTAAAGAAAGTGGCAAAGCTAAGATTGACTTGGAAGCTAAAAAAAAAGATTGGTGCAAATAGAGTAATCCTTATATAGAATTTAAAAGGAATGAATGGAGAATGTCAATATCATAAAGCCAACCCAAATTGTTTGGATAAGGCTATTGATGATGACAATGATGATTTTACTTGAGTTCTGGCATTTGCAGTTTGAGTTAATGCATAGTTTTTTTTTTCTCCAGGTGTTGAGTCGAAAATTGTATGTTCCATCTAAGTTGAATCCAGAATGTAGGTATGTTCATCAGTTGTTTTTTTTTTGTCTTTTAATACATAATTATTATCATATCAATCTTCAAGTTACTGCTCTCAAATGGCGTGTCTATTATGATTAAAGTTTAAAGTTGATGTCCAAGGCAAACAAAAAAAAAAAATATTGATGTCCAAGGCTTATGTATGAGCTATACTAGTAGAGTTCACATTAGCTGATTTTTTTTTTTTTTAAATCAATAGTACCTTGAAACTGTCAAATTACCAAATAGAATGTACATGGTAGATTGCAATTTTGTCAAATCTTGTTATTTTTCATGGACATGATATTACTGAAAGTAAATTATAACTAGCTTTTAATGCATATTATTGAGGTATTCATTTCTCTACTGGCTACTTTGGCGTCATCACCAAGTGTTTTAATTTTGAAACAAGAAGTCTGTATTGCTCTCACATTCCTGGTGCATGTCTGCTTAGTCAGACTAGCCATGGGTCCTTCAGTTGAATCAGTATTCATACGCGGAACAATCTGATATTCTAGAAGCATACCGTTTCAGAAAGCTTGTGTTCTTTTGTTTTGAGTACTCTTATCCTTTGTTTCTATAAATTATCGCCATTGCTTTGCCATTTTCTCTTAAATAAGTGAAATTCCAGTAAATTTGTGGAAACAAAAAAAAGTATTGTAGCCAATTGAAACAAAGTTTCTCAATGTTGCTCTGATATGATGGCAAGCATCAGAGCTGCTTCTGGCCTATAGTTTTCATTTTTGTTTCCAAGGTTGCACCAACATGCGCAGTGAGATCCCTATCATTAGTATTGGTAGATTTAGAGTAGTACTGAGTATTTGTTCTGTTGCAAATAGCATTACACTTCCCCTATGATAGATGTTATTACAGTGGAATAAAGCTACCTAAGCATAAGGTGTCCAGGCTTCAATCCTGAAACCATGATGCTATGACTCCTTACCTGTAATTACGATTTAAGATGTCCAGTGAATCTTTCTGCCACTATAACGAGGCCTCTGATGTTGTCCATTGTACTTCTACCACTTACCAGTGCTTTATCAGGAAGGACAGACATCTCTTAAAATTATTGAAGATTTACATACACCATTCAATTCCTATGTATTTACACATCTAACACCTAAACTTCAACTTCATACATAAAACCTTACCTTTCCATGAGAAGGTTGTTTTCACATTTTAATTGTGGTATTGTTGATGTGTACGATTGATTTGGGTGGTATAAATGTAAAAAATTAAAGTATAGGTGTTAGATATGTAAATACATACAAATTGGGTGGTATCCATGCAAATGCCCCTAAACTTTTTGAAGGATCTCAGCATTCCATTTTCAACTTCAAGCATTCGTTAATAACTTTAGTGGAAATGCTATTTGCTAAACATTTTAAACTTGTAACAGGAATGGTGATCATCCTTTGATTGTTGCAATTGATTTGCAGCCAATGGCACCGATAGATGGTGTTATTCAAGTGCAGGGTGATATTACTAATGCTCGAACTGCTGAAGTGGTATACTTCTTACATGATAATGCAAACAATTGCTAATTGTTTTGGCAAGAACTACAGAGTCATCTTATTATGGGCTGCTAACATAGAATTTGGGTTGTTTTTCCATTTGTTTTTTTACACTTTTTGCAGATATCTTAATTCTTTATGATCAGAGTGCCATTCTCCTAAATTTTTAACACTCATTTGAAACATGGTAGATGCTTTTGATGCTAGTGCTATGCAGCCGTGATACTCAGATATCATGAGTGGTTCAATCATGTATTTTTAATGAAGATTTAAGCCATCAGGGGTCTATTAACCAGAAAATCAGCAACTATATGAATTTTGAGCAAGCTTAACTTACTACCAGGATACTTATCATTTATTATATTTCTAGCAACACAAGAATTACTTAGATAAAATCCCACAGGCAATACATATTTCCCCACAGGAAACAATATTGCTTGCTTTAATAGAAGATCGTTTGCAAAACATATGGTTTGAGGGATAATAAATGAAGTCATCAAAACATTGTCACATGGTCAAACCACAATGTGAAGCAAAGTTTTTTTCCATTTTTTATTTTAGATTAGGGCCGGAGGATGGCCTTAAAAGTGGAGGCAAACTATCATAGTAGATATAGTTTGGTCTGTCAAAATCTACTATTCACCCAACAAAATCAAAATTACATACTTTGTGAAATACACTCATACACACCTAAGGCCAGTTGGTCATAGGTAGACAAATCCTCGTTCACTCAAATCTCAAGGTCGGTTTAGGATCTTTTTTTTTTTTAATTCTTGTTGTTATTTTTAAAGAGATATTTGTTCAGCATACTTTTCAATGTTTTTATTTTGTATTTTTAAAAATAAATCAACCTTTACTCAAAATAACTTTTATGTGTTTTGAGATTTTCTAAAATAAATTAATTTCTTTTAAATATACCAAACATATTTTATTTTACATAAAAACATATACAAAATTAAAAAAAAAACACATCAAAATATAAAAAAAAGTGATCACAAATGGCCTGGGGGTTGGATTAAATGATTTGGTGGTGGAAAATCATGATTATGGATGGAATTCAAAGCAACGGAACAATCTATCATTACTAAAATAAATTTGGCATCATCAACTACAAAATGATGGTGATGTGAACAAACTTACAATTACATATTCATTAAACAGTAATTAGAGCATCTAAATCCAAAGTACAACTAATGATACTGATAGAATTTTTCATAGAAATTAGGGCAAAATAAATATTTGATTTCTGTAAAGCAAACAATATCACTACGAGCACATATAAGAAAGGATAAACATCTACAATTTAAGAGGTAGGAGAGCTCTCCCATTTCATACAATTCGAGAGGTAGAAAATCTCTCCCAACACTAAACTTAAGACTTTAGTTACGTTCTTCTGCATAACTCTAACCATAAGCTTATTAGCCCTATCTATACAACAACAACAACAACAACAACAACAACAACAACAACAACAACAACAACAACAACAACATTAAGATCATTTTTAATACAATAAGCCCAAGTCTTCCTAGGTCTACCTCTGCCTTTCTTAACACAAGTCGAATTTAAAGCATCTACTCTCCTAATCGGATCATCTAATGGTCGACGTTTAATATGACCAAACCATCTAAGACGACTTTCTCTAATTTTGTCTGTCACAGGCGCTACACCAACCCTATCACGAATATATTCATTCCGCATTTTGTCTCTAAGTGTAAAGCCACTCATCCACCTAATCATTCTCATCTCGGCAACACTTAACTTATTATTATGCTTCTCTTTTAAAGGCCAACATTCAGCGCCATAGAGCATTGCAGGTCTCACCACCGTCTTATAAAATTTTCCTTTCAGTCTAAGCGGTACTTTTCTATCACACAAAACGACCGAAGTATTCCTCCACTTCAACCAACCAACTTAAATTCTACTATTAACATCCCCATCTATATCACCATCGCTTTGGACAACGGACCCGAGATATCTAAATCGTTCACACCTTTTAATAATTTTATCACCCAAAGTTACACTTCTGTCACTAGAGCTATTACTACTAAAATTACATTCCATGTATTCAGTTTTAGTTCTACTTAAATGAAGGCCTTTAGACTCCAATGTAGACCTTCATAATTCAAGTTTTTCCTAGGCTTTTTCTCTCGTTTTATTCACGAGAAGGATATCATCAGCAAAAAGCATACACCAAGGTACATCCTATTATAGATGCCCAGTAAGACCATCCATAACTAAAGCAAAAAGATATGGGCTTAAAGCCTATCCTTGATGTAATCCAACATAAATAGGAAAATATTTGGTCAATCCTCCTTCAGTTTGAACAAAGTAACAGCTCTAATATACATATCTTTAATGACTTGAATATAAGTCATATCAACACCTTTCTTCTCAAGAACTCTCCAAAGGATATATCTAGTATACATATCCTTAATGACTTGAATATTAGCCTAATCTATATTAAACAATAATAAATAATAAAAGACTAAATTGCCCTTAGGCTAATAAAAGATAAAATTAACCTTAGGCTAGGTATCGACGTAACAATACTCTCCTCCCGTAAAGACACTTTGTGTTCAAGGTGGAAAAATTGCTGTTGGATCAAGTTGTGTGGCTCCGCCTCATAAATTGGCTTGATTCTGATTTTTTCTGTCAACATTGGCACAATCGTCATGGCTTTCTTCAACTTCTCAAAATTCTGGATTGTCACTTTCCCCCACTGAAAGTTATTCTTCTTCAATTTCTTTATCCCTAACCATACACGCAAATTTTAACCTTCATGAAGTCACATAAATCTTCTCAATCCCTTTTTGGTATTAAGTAGTGACCCCTCCAATCCATCTGCCACCTTCGATGGGTTCATTGACACTAGAGTCTTGCACCAGCTAGGGTCACCACGAAGCATCGCCGTCTTATCTCTCTTATGAAACTTTTTGGTCAAAAGTTTCCAATTCATCTTAGACTCCCCTATGGATTGCAATCATTTCATACCCAGTATCACGTCAGTGCTTCCTAAATCCAAGAAAAGAAACTCTTCCATCAGTTGAATATTTGACAGTGTTAAAATTGCTCCTTTACAAACTCCCTTGCTCTTCTCCACCTCTAGTTCCCATCATGACTTCAACACTTCCTATGTTCACCATCTCAAGCCTCAATTGTTGCACTATTTGAGTAGTGATGAAGTTGTGGGTGGCTCCACTATCGATAACTACGTCCCACTTTTTGATCTGCCCCTGAAGTTTCATGGCATGGTTCAGTTTAATCCCACAATCGAGTTCAATAAGTCTTCTGCCACGTCTAAGTGAGGGTGTTCCTCCTTCACCATAATTTTCTTTGTTTCTATATCCTTTGCCTCGTTGTCACACACTATGAGAATCTGTAATGTCTGATTCTTGCAAGTGTCCTGCGAAAAGTTTTCATTTCTCTGAAAACATAACCCCGTGGATCGTTTCTCCCAAATATTTGTCTCTTTAAGACGTTTGAGTGTTGCTCTCGGTCGTGGCTCCGTATTCTTGTATTGTGGAGCCTCTCTTTGGACTTCCATTGTTTGAGCTTTTTGGTATCGTTCTTTTGCAATTTTATCTTCGACTGGTTGCGACAATTCCATAATTTTCTCCAATCATTGCAACAGACAAAGTGATGCTCAAATCTCTGGCTTTAACCCTTTCATGAAGTTATCTTTCAACACTTCATCCGACATCTCTCTTTAATTACCAAATAGCGTCTCAAATTTTTCCCTATACTCCTTGGCATACTCTTTCTGGACCAATGCAAAAAATTGCTCGTGTAATTCCCCCTCTTGAGTGGTTTTGAAACGTTCCAACGGTTGAACCTTGAATTATTCTGATGTTTTGATTGATTGACGTTGTTCTCTCCATTGATGACATGCTAGAGTATTCCCTTCTAAACACAAGACCGCCGCCATCAATTTTCTTCATCTGTCAAACCATTAATAACGAAGTACCTCTCCACATGCTAGACCCGATCGTAGGCATCATCTCTTTCAAAGATCGACATCTTCAGTTTCCTTATGGGCGAGTCTCCTCCCCTATTCACTTGCAACTCATCTTTATTTCCCTTCTTTCATAAGTCTGGAGCTTCATTTAATTAGCTCGCCCGTCCCTATAAACTCCATAATTGCCTTATACCAAGAAGTTTGCCGCAACAAATGTCACTGCGGCTGGTGGATGTAGCCCTTTGCCGGGGTCCCACCCACCATGACTCCCTATTCTAGTCGAAATCCTCAAATGGATCTTCTCTTGTCTCGAATCGCCCACCCTCTTTTTCCTGCTGCCTCTCGTTATAGTCTTCTGGATGTCGTCTCACTCATTCCATTTGCTTACGCTTGAGTCCACTTCTCATTTCTCTCCTGATCCCGCAGCTTTAGATCCACATGAGACAACGCTGTTGTCTTGATGTTGCATGAATTCTTCTAGTTGTTGCCGTTCTAGATGCCATTAGTCAGTCCCGCTGTAGGCGGCAGAAGGATTGTATGAGATTCTACAATCTTCTTTATCATTTCTTCTAAGATTGTGAAACTCTCATTGATGGAAGAGAAACAATTTTTTTTTTCTTAATCTGATTTGATTGACCTCTTTCGCTAGCTTTTCCTCTAAAGCATCCATCTTTTTGGCTTGCATCATTTCTTGCATAATTCAAAACTTTCTTACGCTAAAATCACGACATTTAGAATTTCTGAACACAGGTTCGTTGTGGGTGGTAGAACTATTGGAACCTGCTTAGAACACTGGAAGCTACAATCCAAATTCCCGTACGTCGCATATTCTGATCATAGAGTTTTCTTCACAAGCAAAACTCTTTTATGCGGCCATCCAAATCCTTAGTTTCGATCAAGAGCGGTGCAGAACTTCTATAGGCCGTAATCCTTCGACTTTCCTGCGATCTATACCTCATGACCCTGTTGTTTGCATCCCAACTAGAAAAAATGTTGATTGTGCGGACGTATGTATGCTGCATTCCCGCGTTTATGTCCCAACTAATTCTTCTCGAGACAACGTTGGAGGTTGTGCTTGAATGTGATATCGTCGTTGTTTTCTCTGTTAGTGCAAATCACAACTATACAAGAAGACACAGAGGAAGGAGCACAAAATCGTATGTGCACTGTAATTGTCTGTACTTTGCATTTTCAATATTTCATGATTGTCTGTATTGCTCCCAAAATTGCTTCCCAGCAGGCTCAGACTTTAGCTCAAACTTAGGCTCAAATCATGACTGCATGGTGTAGCTGCAATCCAGTTATCACTCGATCTGATCCGCGATCCTTGTTCATTTTAGAACAACCGCAATCCTCTCCTATAAACTGATATCCCTCCTTATTCCTAGATTGTGCTCTGATACTAATTTAATAGGATTCTCCATAGAAATTATGACAAAATAAATATTTTATTCTCCAAAGTAAATAATACCGCTACAAATACATATAATAAAGCAACCCTAAACAATTTGAGAGGTATAAAATCTCTCACAAACCCTATCAACCCTAAGCATATTAGCCTATTTACACTAAACAATAAGGAATAATCAAAGTCAAAATTGCCTTAGACTAATAAAAGACAAAATTGCTCTTAGGCCAGGCACTGATATAATAGATATCCAAGGAATGTGCAATATTTTAGTCTTTAATAAATCATTAAGCAATTTAATAGATAAATAACAATTCTAAATAATCACAAAAAATGAGAAGAAACAATTTGTATGCTTGGCTTTGAACATTTAAACAATCTGATGTTATAGAGATCCATACAAAGTTTTTGTTATAGTAATTTAACTAATTTGATAACTTGAGCTTAAGAATCTCAATATGGAATTAGACTTCGACATGTCTGAGTATTACATTTATAATGTATAAACATGACAATTGACAGCTCATCATCATAACAAGTGGCATCAGTGAGATTTCATAATGATAAGCACTGCATATCGTATGACATAGCAGTCATTGTAACATTTGATTTTCACAGATTATCTGCATTTTCATAAATTTAGGTTATATATATATAAATTAGCTTTTAGCGTGCTCATTCATAAATCAATAACAAATGGTTTTAGGTTGGTATCATTCATGAGTATCATTTCAATAAAATCTTGATCTTGTCTATAACTCACTTAGCCAGTCTCATATAACTCTTAACAAACACCCACACACAAGGCATTTCATGATTACTAAAATCAACTTATGATTTTACCTACCTGAATATAATATAAGGAGGATGACCTTCAAGCTTTCAATCTCCATCTTTTTTTTAATTTTGAGCATTGCCGATCTCTTCCTCCATTCATATCTTTCTCTCTTATGCCACCCTCGTCCTCTTCTTTCGCTAGCTTCCCTTGTGTCCTAGGTACTGACATTGATCATCTTTTCAGTCCTGTCAATCGTATGAATTTGCTTGCCAGCTCTTGCTTTTCTTGCTTGAGCACATGATGCCCCTCGTCCATCTCTCTTTCAATCTCTTTTATATATATGTATAATTGCAACTCTTATTATAAAAAAATTATTATATGTTTGATATGTTAGAATTTAAGATCTTATCTACAGTAAACAATAAATGAGAGATTTATTCTTGATACAATTGATTTGATCATAAAACATTATTCAAAATAATTTAAAAACTATATTTTTATTATTTAAGCTATTGTCCATTTTCTAAATGAATTTGATCTGGTCAACTTTATTATTAATCTGTCACCCATGAATATTTTTTTAATCAGCCATAAATTTTCTTAATTACAGTTGGGCCACCACTCAACATTGCAAATATCGCAGTGCATCCTTTTGTCAACTAAAAATCTATGACAGTGCTGCCAATTAAATTTTGAACCTTAAAAAATATGCTGACCTTGTATGCCCATATTTTTATTGACCTATTACTGTAAGTTTTCTTTTATGCTTGTTGCAATTGTATGAGTTGTTTCTATCTTCTGCTTTTGTTAGGTCATCAAGCATTTTGATGGATGCAAGGCTGACTTGGTTGTTTGTGATGGTGCTCCGGATGGTAAGAGGCGCAGTTTTACTACACTTAAGAAATTATTTATTATTCTTATGCTTTGTTCAAACACTGCAGTAAAACATATTTCTGAAAATGATTTGTGAATTTATTGCAGTTACTGGTCTTCATGATATGGATGAGTTTGTCCAGTCGCAACTGATTCTGGCTGTGAGTTGTTCTTTTGAATGCATTTTACTTGCAAGTACCACACATTTGCACAAAATTTTAACCTTTTTTTAGCCTTTTGATCTTATTTGGCTATAATTAATTTTATAAAATGTATTATTGATGCAAACAAGTTAATGCACTTCTCATTGTCATCAGTTGCTGATATTATTCATCCATCTTGAACATAGGCACTAACCATTGTAACTCATGTGCTTCGAGTTGGAGGCAAATTCATTGCAAAAATTTTTCGAGGTAAAGATACAAGCCTCCTTTATTGCCAGGTAAAATGAATTTGGGATGTGATCCATCAATGATTTTTCCTATCTTTTTAACAGTGTCTTCTAGCTTTGCGTATTAGAACAGCTCCACTGAACGTATTACTTGCATTTGCTCCTTCTATGTTTGAAGTTGTTTAGTTGGTAACTCTCTCAGTGTCACCTCACTCTCCACCGTCACAAACATATATTTAACCTTTGAAGTTTTACTGGGGAATAAGAAGTCTTTATCCTGAGTTGGTTTCCCCTTCATTATTGTAGGTCAAAATCATATCCGCAGCAGTAGTTGTATTGCTGTTTGTATTCTTTTTTAATATGTTTGATTTAGCTTTAAATGACGTGATATTGAACTATTTTTGAAACAGTTAAAGACTTTTCATTTCATGTTTCATTGTCTTGATGCAGTGCTCAAAACCCACAGCACACTTTCTAAGCTATTTTTTATAACCAATGTTTTGGCTGAAAGATAACTAATGAGTTTAATTCCTTGTGAGGATGGAAATTGTTAGAACTCTCTTTTAGTCGATAGTCTTCTGTGTGATATACTGGCATATCGGAATTAATCTTAGTGTAAATTAGTATAACTGTGATTCATACGATCAAACTGTTATTTTCTGATCTTTTAGGTGATTCACTACGTGACATCCTTGCTGTAGCTTCATTTCTCATCAATGAGACATGTGTTAGTATTGATAAAGCAACCTCATAATCAGGACTTAGCTATAGGCTGATCACCATCATATGAAGAGTACAGGGGTTAAAGCCTCTTTGTTTGAAGATAAGTACCAAGAACTCAGCTCTAAACATCATAAGGATTGAGATTCCAATGCCATTAAGTCAGGAGGTAGCTGAAGAGATTGACAATTGGATAAAGAGAGTTAACTAAGCCTGAGCATTGTTTGTCATAAATGCAGCGGCACATCAAAGATCTTTTAGGTCACGGCCTAAGGAATGATTATGAACACCTCAGTGCATGACACGGCACCACCACCCTTGCACTTGTAAGTGTAAATCATGGACAGCAATGGCTCCTTCAGACTAGCCACATTGCACATCACATGGCTAGTGCCACTTGTTAGAAACTCATTGGCTAATGGTTAGTGTGCTTTTTGTTTTTCACTAGTTTGGATTCTGGAGATCACATTATTAAGTGGAGCTACATAAGCTATTACAAATGAGAAGGTTCCAATGATCTTTGTGATCAGGGGGTTTTATCCTGTTATAGAATCCAAAGCTCCCCATAAATATCCTATATAGTGTTATATGAATGATTGCTTTGCAAGCTTGTAAAACCGTTGCCATAAATAAAAGAATAAAGAGCATGACTTGGCCTCACAATGCTGAAGTTCTATTTCTTCTCTATTTTCACTCTTTTTTACTGGCGTTTGCCTCAGATCCTACGCTGCTGTATTGGTCTTTGCTGCCTTTAAAATATTACATTATTGTTGGCCAATGCAATTGCTCCAAAGTCAAAATCGAGCAAATACAAGCAATGCGGTGAATAACACGTCATTTGCTCAAATTGTGTTTAAAATATTTTGCTCAGATGAAGATCATTCAGTCGCCGCCCGTTTGTGAAATGGACTATGTGGATACATTCAAAGGGTTGAGATTACCAAGACGGGCTCTGCAATTGATTCATTTAAACATGATGAAAATGATTGACAATGCACGACTTTATTCAAAATTTGCCATGAAATGCCACGATCACTATCAAATTTTCTAATTGTTACCCGCTTTGTGAAATTGATTGCACTGGCTTGTCTGAAACATCAAACATACCTATGAAAGTTGAAAGACACCCATATTGTTCAATCCACAACACTAAGGAGCAACACAAACTTCCCAACACTCAAGGCGTTGACATGAAATTTGACAGACATGAGAAATGACAGACGTGAGGATTGAGCATATATTTAATCTATTTTTAATTTTAACTTAATTTAAATTTAATTGCAGACCTGTTAACTCTAGGGACAAGAGGATAATACTTTATAATAATGAGACCTATAACTACTTCCTATATGGAAAGTGACCTGCTCAATAATATTGTGCAACACAATGAGTTTGAGTTCAAAGAAGAGCGTGGAGGATTTTGATAGAAATTTTTATTTTGAATTTATTGATTACTAGTATTAAAACCCATAAATCATTTTTATTTTTTGTTTATATATTGGCTTTCAACGCCATTTACGAAAAGGATAATTTAAAAATAAAACTCTCAATAGAGCCACACTTGCAATGTAAAATATTGAGTTAAATTTATAGACTGTCTTCTATATATAAATATAGAGTTAACATTGTTTGTATGACGATAAAATTTTCAAACAAATTTAAACTATATCCAAATCAAAAACCCTATCATTGACAATTGAGTGGAATCGACGATGTCCAAAGAAATAAAAATGAAATCAGGATGCCTTGATAATAATTGTTTTGATAAAAAATCTCATGTGAAGGAATACCTTCATTAAAGCGTTTTCAATTTTAATGCAAAATTTGCTGTGTTTATACCTCAATAACATATGAAAAATTTAAATACATTGTTAAATATAATAATGTTTAAGCTCACTTCATCATTCATAAGCTTAAAATAACAAACCATCCACATTCCACAATAATTAATTGGGGACTTACCTCTGCTCATGTAAATATGATATCATATGTTCATTTAGAGTCACTCTAATAAATCTCATGCTAGTGAGGATGTGACGTGTCTTTGATCATATGGTTTCGTAGCCAGCTATGTAGCACCGACACTTTTAAAAATGTGTTGCACACGTGTTAGATATATATCAGACAGCAACACTCGTTTGACATGCCCCGCCACTTCTCTGGCATTATAAAATATACGTCTGAATTTTTTCAAGCCTGCACATGTCCGGGACACACCTTAACACCACATCGGATGTGAATTTAACACGATTTTGTATTTGGGACACATGAATTGGAAAATTATAAATATACATATAGCTTTAATTATATCTCATGGTCGACACCCCCCATCTCTCATATGTTGAAGCTCCCTCTAATATTCATCAAAATCAAACATCGAAGGTGTATCCAATATCGTTGAAGCCGAGCATTAGTAATTCCCTCTTTGTAATCATATGATTTTTTAAATTTTGGTATATAAGTCGGATTATAAGTTGGATGAATTTTTTTGAAACATATTATTTCTAATTTTAAAAATTAATTTTCATAAGCATAAGACTTTAAAATATAAATTAAATTTATGAAGTTAAATTTTATGCTTGCATGATCTGTGTTGTGATATTTTTAATAACAAATAATGGAAATATATATTTTTTTATATTAATAATTTAATTAATTATTTTTTCATATTATATTTCATATTTTTTCAATTTTGTCGTGCTTTCGTATCTTATCATGTCGTGTTCGTGTCCCTGTGGCTGTGTCCGTGCTTCATAGGTAACCAAATGGTTTCATAAAAGGAACTGTCGTGATCGGAGCTCTTTTGCCTGATGATTCACTGCAAAATGATATTATTAAACAACAATCATGACTAAAGTCCACATGTTTTCTAATGACTCAAATTAGTGATGAATTCTAGAGTGCTATTGAAGAGGCAAATAGTCTTCTATTAGTAAATATCAAATTTAAATTGTTCACTTAGACAAAATATTCTCCCAAGCTTTACAAGGTTCATTTGCACAATGAGACCCATAGTTGTTGACTAGGATTATTTGTTTGAGTTGAGTCGACTAAACTCTTTGAATAAGCACACTAAGGCCCATTAACCTCAGATAATGGAACCATATGATTTTAATCGGGTTTGTTATCATTCCTCACATCATTTGCCAAGAATAAATGCATGAAATTTTAAATTAAAGCTTCCAATATAATATGATAAGCATTTGTCACCGAACTATTAGCTTTATTCGAAAGTCATCTCCAGTCAGGATGAATAATTAATGATAGGGTTTTGTGCCTATTAGAAATTTGGAATCAAATAAAAAAGTCCTCACAAAATATGGGCAAAATCTATATGCAGTGTTTTGTCTAAAATTTTTTATCCGGAGCTATAAACTCTCATAGGAGAGTTGTACTTCAACGCTCACAATAACCTATTTTTGTTGTGTTATTTGATTTTAGCATTATTTGCTCTTGTTGAGGTATGGTGGTTGTGAAGAAAAGATTAGGCATGGATCATGAAGAGTCTTACTATGATCTTTGTGAGCTGGTCTGTGCAACGATGGTGTACGAAGAACAATCAAAATAAGCTTGAAGCTTGGGCCTTCAGGCCTCATTACCATCCTGGTTATTACATCTATGTCAAGTGGCGCTAGTTGGAAAACCTCTCCATGATAAGTTATGGTACGTTGAGAATTATAAGCTGCACTCAAATTCATTCCTCCCAATAGCTTTTTTCTCTGAAAAATCTTCCTCAAAAAAGACTTTATTTAATGATCTAGTAGTAGTAAAAGCCATTATCAACAAATTTGATTTCAATTAAGTTCTCATAGTTTCTTGGAGCTCTGCTGATATTATCTTTTGCTGAGAGCTATGAAACGAACAACGGCGTTCAAGAATCTTATAGCTTTTAGATGACTTATCATCAAGTTCTTGGGCGATGCTTGAGACTTCAAAAGAATAACTTAGTTATATTAGGTGATAATCATTCACATGATTTTTGCTTAATATAACTTCACCATTGTGCCTTCGGCACGTAACTTTGTCCATGCTTGAAAGTGCTATTTGAACTCAGTTCATGGGCTCTAGTTTAAGCTCCTTGAAGCAAGTTTATAAAATACGTGCCAAACGAATGCCTCTGATTTCTGGATAATTATTGCTTTGAATTTGGTCTAGATTTGTTGTCAAGTTCATGCAGGAGTGAAGGATATATTTGATTTTCAAATCTCAATTGTATTTCAATTTTATCTTACATTTTTGGCCAGGTTCATAACTAAAAGCTGGTCATTTGTGTGGGGGTGATTATCTTTTTCATTTGGTTTCGCTTCCTCTTAAGTATTCTAACAATAAGGTTTGAATATCATTTGCTTGTCTGCAAATAGATAACCTGCTCCACCCCTAATCAAGGTTTTGACATGGGTCTCCCCCAAGATGGGTGGCCTTCATGAACTTCCTATTCACTAGTTCATTCATGTCATCCGTCATGGAGGGGTTCCTAATTGAGAAGGCTAGCCTCCTTGATTAGCTTGAGCTCCTATTGGAAGGCATTATGTTGCTCGGGGGTTCTTAAAACTTTGCTCTTGTTTCCATGGCTCTTCCTTTCAGTGTTATTAAATATAGTCTTGATAGCGTTGATCCTCTCCTCTTGAATATGCCACAAGTCAATGGTGGAATGAACAAGAAACATGATGGATTTTATACTTCATAATCTAGTTTCATAAGCATAAGTAGGACTGATAGAAAGAGAAAGATGCCACTTGAGCCTTGATCACTTTCTCTTGGTCAATGTGATTCCCTTTGTCAATTTTATCTCATCTCGGGCCTGGAAGTTGATATTCTTCAATAATGCAAACCTTAAAAGTTAGGAATAATGTAGTTTGTATTTAAGAGAGAATGATATATTGTGTGTGTTTAATTTTATGCAAAGCATATAAACCCAACTATTAGAATAAAATGTCAATAAATCAACAAATTCTTCAAGAAATACGCATAAGGAAATAAAATATCAGCATTTGAAAAAGAAAATGAAGGAATAAACTATTTGGTAACAACTAAACCAAAGCTCAATATGAGTTTAAATGAGAACTACCAGTAAACATATTTGTCAAATTAATGAAATAACTAATGTTGAAATATCTTTTTCTGCGGTGATGTTCCACCAAACAACCTATAGAATATATTGAAAGAAATGTTTTATCACAAATGATTTTGACATTCATGCCTAAAGTACAAGTCTTCCTTATTAGGACATGTGGCATGAATTATGAACATTAAAAGATGCACATTTTTCAATATAATAATAACACAACCAATGGCATCTATTCATTTTGTTATAATAATTTTGTATGACATTAATGATTTAAAAGTGTCAATTGCTTTGAGGTGTTTTATAATATGACGATTGTTAATTATTTGTATGAAAGTAATATTAAATTCATTTTTGTGCTAGCATATCCATTTGCATTCACATCGGACATATCCAAATGTGTACGTGTCTGTGTTTTTTATGAAGACACCTCAAACCAAGAAAGTTTTCACCAACCAATATGATACCTGATGTAACCCAAACCATAAAAGAAATAATAGTATTATTGCTGAAATTCAATGGTTACAACGAAGACTCTTCAAAACAGGAAATAAAACATAAAGGGGCTGCCCTCGGGCGAGGGCAATGGTGATGGCTGATGGCTGGACAGCATGTGGGAGGGCTGATTTGGGGGCCTGCGACAGTGATTGGCTGTCTTAGAGGGGTTTATGGCAGCAGTGGAACGGCCTGGGAGGGGTTACGGTGCAGCAATGGGTAATTGGACAATAGTTGGGAGTTGGCTGGCAGCAGGAGCTGTGTCAGAGTGGGGCTACGGCAGCAGATAGAGAGGTGGCGTGGTGGGGTTGCTTGCTGGAAGGAGACAGACCACGGGAAGGCAGAGCATTGGCAGCAGTAGGTTTGGAATTAAGGAAGAGACGGGTGTCTGGCTGGATTTCACGCGAGAGGAAATCATGTTATGGCAGCGCAGCGGTGAGAGGGGCTGTTGTGGCAGTTTGGGAAGGGCTGGAGGCAGGGAACGACAGGGCTGGAGGGGGCAGGAGCTTTTGAGGCAGTCTGGGAAGGGGTGGAGGCAGGGAACGGCTACAACAAAGGATGGAGCTGGGGAACAGACAGGGTTACGGAGAGAAGAGGAAGGCCTGGTGTTGTTATAGCAGGGAGGGAAAGGGCTCCTGTGTTACGGTAGGGAAGGAGATGTGGGATGCGGGAAGCTGCGGGAAGAATGGTAGACGGCCGGAAACGAAGGTGGAGGTGGGAGTCAGGAAAGGTTAATTTCCACCGGGGGATAGGGATAGAGCCGGAGCACTACCCTTTCTGTCGGATACAACCCTCAAGCGGAAAACAGGATGCCGGCGGCTGTCCTAACAAACTAACATCAGAAAATTCAACAAATGTTGAAACCCTAAGACCTAAAAACACATAAAAGGGTGGAGGGGGGGCGTAGGGGTGTGGGGGCCGGTTCAACTTTTGGAGAAAAACTCCCGTGACAATATTTCCCCAAAAGTCATTATCTAGATTTGTCGGCCTAGCTAGTCAATTTTAAATGATTTCCACCGATCTATAAATTCATTGCAAACAAATATCCTCTTTTTATACAAATCATCAGCACGTGTTTAACAAATATACTCATCAAAATGACTTTGTGGACCAATTAATTGGTGCTTCATTCTGTTGTATCTTGGAAAATGTATTATTTAATTAGCAAAATTGCATGAAAAAGGGACCGAAGCATGGAAAGTGAACACATGCTCTCCATCTAGTACTTCATTTTATTATTATGCTAACGAATCAATATATTCATCTTGATCATTTTTGGAGTTTTTTCTTTATCTTTGTGATTTGATGAATTTATTGACTGCCTTTTGTTATGTGCAGCTGAAGTTATTCTTTCCTCGTGTCACCTTTGCCAAGCCAAAAAGCAGTCGCAATTCAAGTATTGGTGAGGCCAGATTTTTGTGAGTTAATTTGTGTGATAATTCTCTACTTTCACAATAACGTAACATAATGATTATATCTGCTGCCAAGTGATGGTGATGTAGCAAATGCATGCACTGTTCTCTGTATTTCCATGCCAACAAATAGACGATATAACTTTTTGCTTTTGGTAGTCCATTGAAAGAGTTCTTGTAACAAAATAATTTTTTTTTTAATTTTGTTTGGATAATGGATTATCTGCCACTAGATACGTATGATTTTGTGATCGTCCTGGCTTTACATTTACGCTTAGCGTACACCATTATTGCTCACTGCATGTGATTTTGGTTCGCATAATGATATACCTTTGCACTTGTATATGCAATTGGAATCATTTGAACATGACTGAAAGCGCATGCTTATTATTTTCCATCTATTGTGGGGACAGATGAAAGAATACTCAGCAAATGCACCTCTTTCCTTGCTTATTCGCTATATATCTTCTAAATATATTATATGAAACAGGAAGATGCGGTGAACATTTTTTTTGCCAAAATTTAGATGTTGCAAACTTTAATTTAAATATTTCTTAAAGGGAAGAACATTTGGCATAAGTGCATTGATCTGCAGCGTAATTTGCAGTTAACATAGCATATAAAAGTAGCTAGTAAAAATAGAATTATTATTATTTGCTTTGTAACCCTATTGAAATTGTAAGTTATCACTTATACTTATTGCAAATAAAGCTATCATATGGAACAATATTATTATCACCACCAGCCTCAGTACCACCTGGAATAATATAATTAGTATTATTTATTTAAAAAATTTGCCTTTGTTGCTCTTGAATTTGATAGTTAATATTTGTTTAAAAAAATATAATTCATCGTAAATGGAAAAAATATGCCTTTTAGAAAAAAAAAACAAAATTAAGGCATTTAAAATTAATTAAAAAATTAAATTTCTTTATATTTCAGTCAAGCAAATAGTAAAATCAGTACTATTCATGGAAGTATTTTATCTTATAGAGGACTAAAAGAAACAAAACTGATGCGGGAGCTACTCGGAGACTCCTTTTCGCAGTTCTACGATAGTACCGTGACCTTAGGTGGATTTGGCGTCTCCTTTCAATAGTGGGCCCAATTCTAATTCCCTAGGAGTTGTATATTTAATTCTTGTGTTTTTGTTTTCAATTTTTCATGATATTTCTGTTCAGGGCAGCTGTCGGCATCTCGGTTTCTCCCTTCTAGGGCTGTATCTAAAGACGGTTGGCTCTCCGGTTGTAGCTTGTCCGAAGTGACGATCTTCTTCTAGGGGTCGAGCAGTGCTCCGATAGTAGCTCATTCCCAATGGAGTGTTTATCCTTCCCTGACTTCTCCAAAAGTTTTCCTCCGCATCCGCCGCTGTCGTCCTTGCCATAGACACAAGAATCCAACACTCTTTGGCTGTTTTTTCTGCAGCTTCCGGTGTTCTAGCCTTTCGTTCTCGTTGCTATCACTGTTCCAGTGCCTCTCTTTGCTGTCACTTCGATTCCAGCTCTCACCTGCTGCCATTATAGTTCCAGCCGTCAAGGACCCTTCGCCTAGCAGCCTTGCTGTCATTCCAGCCGCCAGGATCACCCCATCCGCACAGCCTTTCCCAGCCTTCCCAGCCACCGCTCCTCCCCTCCCCACGCGCTGCCACCCCTGGACAGCAACCTTCTGCTACTGTGCCGCTGTTTTTCTGCAATTCAGCCTCTTTCATATCCTATCGTCACCTTCCCAGGCTTCCTATTGCCTTCACCACCACCTTGACGTTGCTCTAATTGGGATGATGTGTCGTAATTGTTGTTCTTTCCTATTGCTATGTGTCTGGATGTAAGTTCATATTTGAATTCAATAATAATATTTATTTTTCTATTGTTGTTTGGGTTAACTCCGGTATCTAAGACATTATGATATAAATCACACTTACATTTGCGATTAGTTTGATAACAACCTATTATAATCAAAATTCATATATCATCTGATTGTTACTGAATGGGCGCTGCAAATTGTAGAACTTATTATACTACTTCTAAATAACAATTTTTTTGTTCATTTATTACAAGTATTTCAACATAATCTGAGAAGTCATGATATTATTTCTTGTGCAAATGCATGCATATGGTTATTTGCTAGTATATATAGAAGCTATGGGCATTGTTAGTCTAACTTTACCTGATATTATACTTGTCCTGCAGAGGCCTTTGCTGTCTGTGAAGATTATTCCCCACCTGAAGGGTTTAACCCAAAGGATTTGCATCGCCTTCTTGAAAAAGTGGGAAGCCCTTGTGGAAGTGGTGATTTAGGTAATGCAGATCCACTGTAATGCTTCTTATGTCACATTATTTTCAAGTTTTTTCATTTCTTAAGTAATGATGCATGATGGGTGATAGCATTCAGAATGGCCTTCGATATGTAGTACTGTAATTTTTTAATAAATAGCAGCTTCTTTCTAAAAACAGAAACTTGAATTAAGCACTACTTCAGCTGTTGTCGGTAATACCTTTTTTCCTCCGTTGTGCATCATAAATATTGCCTATTAGATTTAAGAAAAATATATTTTCTAGTTGATTGTATTCATATGTTGGCATGGATTGCATCATGTTTTTTTAACATTTTTTTATTTTATTTTATTATTATATATATATATATATATATATTTTTGGATTTGCATTAGGTTGTATCATGCATTGCCTGTTTTTTCATTTCTCAAATGCTTATTGGTTATTTTGTTAATTTCTATTCTCTTCTGTTTTTCTTATATCCAAAAATAGAAACTAAAGGATGAAAACGCAACTTAAAGAATTCTCTTGGCTTTGTTTTGTGGAGGCTGAGCATAATATTTGCTTAGTAGTTTTTTTTTTTTTTTTTCTTGTGATGGTTTTTAAGTCTATTTATCATCCATTATCTTATAATTTCATTACCGGATTTTATGCTGTTAGCTTACATCATTTGGGATTGTTTATCAGCTAAAATTTGGAGACCATCCTACGCCTAGCTTTTTTTGGGTTGTTTTCAGGACAGTTGGGGCTGCCCAAAAAAAATTCATCGTTTGCGAACAATTCATGCTCCGTTCTTCAAGTAACTTGTGTTTGATTTTTGGTTGTGTTTTATTTGTTCGTCAAGCAAGTGAGCTAAATATAAACAATTGTTTTGATTTTGATTTATAACAAAATTAGGAGCCCTGGATAGCCAATAACAATATATGCTGTAAAACTAAGAAAATAATTCAAGGCGATGACCTTCTCCAAAAAGATATTTGATGCTTGCGTTGATCTCAAAAGAATCCCACATCTAGCCTCCACATACATCAAGTTAAAAATTGGAAGAATAATTTTAATTCAATCAAAGTTATAAAATTACATGCATCATAATATCTATTATGGACTCTTCATCACTAGTTGCGTAGATATATTTGGTTATGATTCATCCAATCTAATTCCAAATAGCAATATGGTTAAATCATGGCATATGAAATACTGGAGTAATCCGAGAATTACTAATTTGTAGGCGTTAGTTCTAATGCATTGAAAGCTATTAAATGATCGAGCCTTTTTCTACAATAAATTTCATAATTTTTTATGATGAAATTATTTTGAATTTAAACACACCATTAGTTTATCAAGTTTTTAATTATGTAGTGGAACAATTATTGAAAAAAAATTATCTAATGGTCAATAATGTCTAGTTTCGAGCCTGTAACCTTTGCATAATAATATATGGATGCAATCAAGTTAAGAAAATAAATTCAAGAAGACGACTTCCCCGAAAAGATAGTTCCACTTGTATTTTTACATCCAGCTTCCTCATACATACGCTTTGAAATTGGAAGAATTATTTGAATTCAATCAAAGTTGTAAAATTACCCAACTATTAATATTTATTACAGACGACTCCTCATCGCTAGGTTACTATCTTAAACACAGAATTGCTCTCTTGTGAACAGAAGAACACCACCTGCAAGTTAAAAATACTTTTAATAATACCCACTGGAAGTTTCATTCAACTATAGGAACGGACAAATGCTGCTTTTTTCTCCTCAGACATTAGACAAAAACCAACAAATTTATATGTAATTTGATTAAATCGTCTAATATTTCCTTAAATTAGTTTCAAGTTCAGAATATTGAGTGAAGCATTATTAATTCAGGCATTTACATACATACCATCAAATTCCCATGTATTTACATATCTAGCACCTAAACTTTATTTTTTTACATTTGTAGCAACTAAATCTTTAATATCACTTAAATTGAAGTTTTAGATATGTAAATGCATATGAATTAATGGTATGCATATAAATCTTTTTCAATTTCCGCAAGTAAATTTCACCATTCAACTTTTGAAATGGCATCTTTCTTCAATCAAAGCTGTGTTGTATTACAGACTGCAGCAGTGCATGGTTGGAGGGACCAAACAAGGTTTACATTCCATTTTTAGCCTGTGGGGATCTTAATGGCTACGATTCAGACCGGTCCTATCCACTCCCAACCTCAGCCGGCGGTTCATACAAGAGCTTGGACCCTGTTCAGCCTCCCATTGCTCCTCCTTATAAAAGAGCTCTGGAACTGAAGAAAGCTTCTAGCAGCCATGCTATGGCTGCAGTAGATATTGACAGTCTCAGTCTCAATTAATATTGCCAGCTGATTTATCCCTTCTTTTGCTTTAATTTATGTAATTTTCTTCTTCTTGTATCTTATTTATATTCTCGGAGTGACAATTTTAATTTCTATGTTCTGTAATTTAATGCATTGTGTGTGAGAGAAATTTATTCATCGTTTTTATCATTGTTGTCAGTTTGATTTAAACTATTCGGAATTGATTAATGGATCTTCATTTTTTTTTTGTTTTTATGTTAGTATTACTGGCAAATGGGAACCATTAATGGTTGCCATTGCAATTTTGTTTGGAATTCTGAGTGCAGCCAAGCAGTACCTTAAGGCAATAGAATTTTCAATTGATGATTTATGTATTTTACTTGTTTTTAAATAAATTTGCTGATTTTGAGTCTTAGCCTAACATTTTGTTATTTTTCAGCTTTGTAGGGCTTCATAAATTTTTAAAACCTTTGTTGTTTTCAATCTATATATATATATATATATTTGAAGTTAGCAACACAATGAGAATTTGGTAGGCTATTCTTGGTTGAGAAGAAGATTAAAAATAATAATGAGCATGGTGCTATATATTAAAATTGTTGCCATTTAATGGAGATTGTTACCAAGTCCAGCTTTCATAAACAAGATTGATTGTTACCACAGTAAAATTAATAAAAGCTTTTTGAAGTATATTAATGGAGAGAGTCAAACCATTCTAACAATCCTTTCTCCCATTTCGGCGGAAAGGTTCATCGATTCCGTAAAAATTGTGTTTTGGAATCCTTCACCTCTCCGAAGTTCTTTTCCCCCAAGCGAAGGTGGGAAAGTGCGGCGCGCAGTGAGGAGGAAAAGAAGATTCTTAGAACGCCGCAAGTTTTCCCCCATTTAAGTCTCCATCTATCCAGCAATCGAAGAGCTGCTCCGGCGCGACTGGATTAGAGAGAGAGAGGGAGGGAGGATGTTGGATAGGTCGAGGGTGCAGAAGGAACTGGTGGAGTGCAACCGGGACACAGCAATCTCCGGCGTGAGCATCAACCTGCCCGATGGCGCCAACCTCACCCACCTTTGTGGGACAATCATCGGCCCCATAGGCACGCCCTATGAGGGCGGAACCTTCCTTATCGACATCCAGTTACTCGGTACGCTTCTCGATTATTATAGTAACTGTAAAATTATGAATCGCTTGCCCTAATTTGTCATCTGTATCCAATCATTACGTCCTTTACTTTTTTTTTTAGGATTTTGCTATTTATGTTTGTCGATCGGCGGAATGTGATTCTGATTATGCTGTTGGAGTTGTTGATTATTGTGTAATTAAGATAGAAAACGTGGAAAGATTGTCATACCATAAGTTTGCTTTTCTTAGAGGTTCTATTTATCAGCGAACTAACCATATGGTTTCTCTTAATGATATGCCATTACATTGAGATGCCAATGAAGTAAATAGTTCCTTAATTTGATGGCTTAGCTTGAAATAAGATTGAAGACAATAACATCATTTTGGGTTTAATCACATACTATTTTATAGATTATCATGTATTCTTGTTTCATTTTGATGTTGGATTCAAATAATATCAGTATTTTCTTATGGAATTAAGTTTCATGCTTCAATCATCAAAATTTCAATCGAATTGTTGGATTTTTTTTTCTTGCCTAATTTTCTTTTGTGATTAACTATTCACTTGTGTAGATTTTTTGGATTTATGTTTATTATTGTCCTTGGTCGATGATCCATTTCATTCGAGCTGATTGTTTATAAAAAATTGATATTTGATTTTTTGATTCAAAAAACATATTCTTGATTTGAATTAATTTATATATATATATATAAACTAAAGATGCAATTGGGAGTTGAATTTGTTCTTTATGTTTTCAGGTGAATATCCTTTCGAGCCGCCAAAGATGCAGTTTATCACAAAAGTTTGGTATGGGAAACCCTTACTTTTCAATCAATTATTTTCGTAGTTACTTGATTATTATCACCCAATGTTTTAAAAATTGAGGCATTTGACCTATCAATAGGGGGGATAATTTCCTATGAATTTTATACTTTTAATATTATATATGTAAAAATATAAAAAAGTAGTCAAATATAAGTGACAAAATTGAAATAAATTTTTAAAAATCCAAAATCCATAACCATGTGACTTATTTTTTAGTCCAAAATATTATTGACTTAAATATATATATACTCATGCAAATTGATATATCAAAATGAAACAAGACAAGAGGTGAGTCGGTCTAGGGCTTTGGTGAAGGCAAGTGACAAGTTGAAGAGGAAAATAAAGAGTTGCAAGGGGAGCCTTTGGTGAAGCTAGAGGAGATAGAAATGATGCATGGGAGATGAAGATGAGAAGATCTCAGGGCTTCAATGTTTCTAAGCATTTGTTCGAGAAGAATCATTTTGATAAGATTAGCACTTTAGAGATTAAAAGGAAAATGATAATAATTAGCAATTAAAATTTAGCAATTAAATGATTTAATATAATTTCAATGAAGTTATTTCATGTGTTTGGAGGGAGGGCGGGGTGGACCTAGGGTCTTTGAGTCAATTTTTTAGTTTGTGGTGAGTGTACTCCCTACATTCCAAATGCCAACACTAATTTGTTGGGGCAATTTTATCCTATTGTGTCTCACTTAGTGGGATCAAGGCATGTTTTTATTGTTCTTGTTGATGCTGTCGTGTCCCAAGGCAAGCCCCAAAATCTCTGTTTCAAAACATAGCCATTGTCATTCTCAATAAGTGCCATTACAATAGCGACATTGATGCTCGATAAGAAATAAGAATGTTATATGACTCATCATATGGCATAGTAGAAAACTAGAAATATTGATATAGTGAAAGAGAATAGCTCTAGGAAAATACATGTGCCTATGTTTTATTGAATATGCTTAGTTGGCGGCTTCCTTTTATTTCTCTACTGTCAAAAATAAGTTTCTTTCATGGAAAAATTGTGTAAAACTCTTGATATTTAGAATAATTATGAAAAAAAAAATAAAGAGAAAATCCATGACTTGTTAGAAGCTCCCTCCTTTTACTTTTATCATGACAGGTATTATAGTTTTTTTATTTTTGGCAGTAGAGTATTAAATCACTTACGCCAAACTAATCGCTATTTAGTTAACATGAGACATATTCTTGTTACAATATGAGTTGGGCAAAAAATATCTAAATATCACATTCAAACTTAATGTATAGACTATAGAAGTTGTAGACATAATTTTCTGAAGACGTTACATAATCTAATGAAGCAACCTTTAAGGAAAAGATTATTGTTTTAAAAAATACATATTTGTAGTGAATTATTGAAAAAAGTATTTAATGTTTAGAACTTTAACTACATCTGGTACAAACTACATATGGAATCAAAAAGATGGTTTTATCATTTTAATGAATAATATTTTACACTCGAAACCATAGTGCATCAAGATCAATTTTTTAAGGCATAAAAGCCTGCTTTATTCCTTAAAATGCCTTCAGTTTATAAAACTAGAAAATTTGTTTACCAGTTATTATTTCAATGAATTGGTTTACATTGGGATAACCTTGCCTACCATGTTGACCTTCAATGGTATAAGTTGTTAGTATTATTTCACATTTATTGGTTTAAATTTTCCACTATGAGGTTGGCTAACTATGTAGTGTTAGGCAACACAATAACTTTGAATTGACCTTATAAATATCCCTAAACATGATGTCGAATTCCATTAGTTCTTCAATTACATGTGTCAATTCGTAATTATTGCTAGATTCAAGTTCTGCCCAATATTGACCTCTCATGAATAGAGCTAACCCAAATTCGACCATTTATTGAACAAATTGAAAATCACAACCCAAGTCTGACTCAATTAAACCTGAACTTGGTTCTAACCGACATAAAAAATAATTGATTTATGTTGAGTTGGTACTAACAATAATGAGCATGATAATCAGATCTGTACACGTCATCCCATAATAATGATCAAAAGTTGCTATTAGATATATGCTCTTAATGGTAAACAAAAGAATCCACTTATTAGACGTAATATTTGTGCATTTTGTAGTTGACTTGAACTTGAACTTTTCTTTTTTCATGTCTTTAAATGTTGAGGTATACCTAAGTCAAATCTTATATGGGTTGAACCAAATCCGAATTTTTTTCCGTTGAGTTTTAATTGTTTTATCATGTTAGATTCACTATGAAAACACCCGGTATGTCCTAATAAACAAATAGTTTTATCTCAAATTTGACAGTCTAATTTGGGCGCTATGAGGTTGTCTTTCTAATGAATTTGGGCAGCACAATCACTTTGTATTGTTTCCTCATAGCTAACCCTGAGAGACGAGACTCAAACCAAACCGTGCCGCATGCAATTAGAATGAAATTTAAATGTAAGGAAAAAATTATTACTAAAAAAAACAGTTTTTGGTGGGAACAACAAAAGCAAAGTTATTTGTAACATTCAGGAGATACAATTATCTTGCAAAATGCTACCGTACTAAGGTGAAAACAAGATGATCTTATGCTTCAATTTGGGAATGTTTATTAAGTTTAGCATCTTAATAGGTAAAGATTTAGATTATCAACATATCGGGAAAGTTGTTACTTTATCATTGGTAGATGATGAAATGGTGCGGACTTATAGTTCACTCTACCGTTGGGAAACAGGTAGCTTATTTTGAACAAGGAAAGCAAGACTTAAAATAGACTATAAAGTTTTATTTAGTTATTTGATTTTTTTTTCTAGTTAAAGGTTGAGGGCTAGCCCAATTTATTACAACAACAACAACAACAACAAAGCCTTAATCCCACTACGTGTGGCCGGCTACATGAATCCTTTTTCTCTATTGCGTCCTATTTAGTGTCATATTTTCATTTAGTTCTAATAAATTAAGATTATTTTTTATACAATAAGCCCAAGTCTCCTTAGTTCTACCTCTGCCTTTCTTAACTATGTCGAATCTAAAACATCTACTCTCCTAATCGGATCATCAGATGGTCGACATTTAATGTGACCAAACCATCTAAGACGACTTTCTCTAATTTTGTCCGTCACTAGAGCTACACCAACCCTACCACAGATATATTCATTTCACATTTTGTCTCTAAGTGTAAAGCCTCTCATCCACCTAATCATTCTCATCTCGGCAACACTTAATTTAGTATTATGTTTCTCTTTTAAAGGCCAACATTCAACGCCATAGAGCATTGCAGGTCTCACTAACATCTTATAAAACTTTCTTTCATTCTAAGTTGTTCTTTTCCATCACACAAAAGACCCGAAACATACCTCCACTTCAACCAACCAACTTGAATTCTACTATTTACATCTCCATCTATATCAAAATCGCTTTGAACAACAGACCCACGATATCTAATCGTTCACACCTTTTAATAATTTGATCACCCAAAGTTACACTTCTGTCACTAGAGCTACTACTACTAAAATTGCATTCCATGTATTCAGTTTTAGTTCTACTCAAATGAAGGCCTTTAAACTCCAATGTAGACCTCCATAATTCAAGTTTTTCCTGAGTTTTTTCTCTTGTCTTACTCACGAGAAGGATATCATCAGCAAAAAATATGCACCAAGGTACATTCTCATGTAAATGTCCAGTAAAACCATCCATAACTAAAGCAAAAAGATATGGGCTAAAAGCCGATCTATGATGTAATCCAACAGAAATAGGAAAATATTAGGTCAATCCTCCTTCAGTTCGAACACAAGTAACAACTCTAGTATACATATATTTAATGACTTGAATATAAGTCATATCAACACCTTTCTTCTCAATAACTCTCCAAAGGATATCTCTTGGAACTTTATCGTAAGTTTTTTTTAAATCAATAAAAATCAAATGTAGATTCTCCTTATTATCTTTGAACTTCTCGATCAAACCTCTCAATAAATGTATAGCTTCCATGGTAGATATCCAAATAAGATGAACTTACTATAGATAGTGTGGAAAAATTAGTCTCCATCAAAGTTTCACTGAGACTAACATCCACCGCCTTCTTATTTACTTCATACTAGATAAATAATTGATGAGATTATTAGTGCCATCTCATCATTCCATGGATTATTTGTGTTCCTTCTTATCAATTTGTAGACTATTATAATTATTTTGCAATTATTTTTCTAAAATTTTGTATGTTTTTTATTAGAAGCTCTCTTAGGATTATTGAAATATTATATAAATGTTGGGATGAATAATGGAATAAATTTCTTTGATTTTTTGTCGTGGTATCAATGCCCTTGATTATTTTTATTTTTTTTTTATTTTTCCATTATAGTAGTCATCTTTAATGCCTCGTCACAATCATAAGGGCCTTTTTTATTGCACTCTCTTTCTTCTTCCCTTGTCTTCCCTATAGTTGCAGCTTTCATTTCTGCATTACCATAATTCCATAGCCTTCATTATTGCAAAACTTTTCTTTTCTCTACTTTTACTACAATTGTGGTAGCCTTTGTTACTGCAAAATATTTTTCACTATTGGAGCCGTCATCATTGCATTGGATTAAACTAATCCAATTGCTACATTTTAGCAATTTGGTCTTATTGTTGCAGCCTTCATAGCTACTAGGGCGGCAAACAAATTGAGTTAAGCCGAGCAGGAGGCTGTTCAAAACTCAATCCGTTTACTATTAACTTATTTAAGCTCAACTAGGACTCGATTCAAGCTTATGGGACATTGTTCAAGCTCGATTCATTTAAATTTTTTATTGAATCAATCTCAATTTGATTTCGGCTTGAGCTTGCTTTTATCGAGTAGCTCAATTAACTTAATTGAGTTGCAACTCGTTTAACCTAATCAAGCTCAAACTTATTAATTATTAAGGTAGATAAATTTAATTTGTGAACCTTAATAAATAAGCATAACACAACTGTTAGAATAAAACCCATAATAAATCTTATTGATGTAAAGAGAGGTATAAACACCAA